CTGGTTCTCGCCCCGTCAGCAGAGCTGGCGTTCACACACACGACACAGACAGTGATTCATCTCACACGTCTGGGGTTTGCTGTGAATTGGAAAAAGAGCGCGCCCTGGCCCAGTCATCAGATTGTCTACCTGGGGATACAGCTAGACACTGTAATGATGAGGGCTCGAATTTCGGACCCTCGAAGGGTAGCCTTGTTGCTAGCCCTGAGAAAGTGTCGTCCGAATCACACGGTAACGGCGCTGTCAGTCATGTCACTCTTGGGTCTCATGTCGTCAGCCCACGTCGTGGTTCCGCTGGGACTCCTGCGCATACGCAGGATGCAGCGATGGTTCACCCAACTAAGACTAGACCCAGTGCGTCAACATCATCGGTTGGTGGTGGTTCCTCTCTCGCTCAGTGCAGATCTGAACTATTGGAGAGACCCGCGCGTTCTCACGCACGGAGTCCCGATAGGCAAAGTGTCCTCCTACATTCCAGTGTTTACAGATGCCTCTCTGACTGGATGGGGAGGGACATGTCAGACCCAAGCGATAGGAGGGGTGTGGCCTCTTTTGAGTCGCCACATCAACCTCTTGGAGTTGGAAACGGTTCGACTGGTTCTGACCCACTTCGCGTCTACCCTTCGGGGTCACGATGTTCTGGTCTGGTCAGACAACCGGACCACAGTAGCCTACATAAATCGCCAGGGAGGAGTCAGGTCTCCTGTTCTCCACCGGGCAGCAGAGGAATTGTGGCTGTGGGCTCACAAGCACCTTCGCTCATTGAGAGCAGCACACATTCCGGGCTACTTGAACGTAGGAGCAGACCTCATGTCTCGAGGGGGTCTCCGAGACGACGAGTGGCGTCTGCGTCCGGACATTGTTCTCCAAATTTGGGAACAGTTCAGGAGAGCCGAGGTGGACTTATTCGCGGCACGCGTGAACGCGCATTGTCCCCTATGGTTCTCTCTGAGGGAACAGGACGAACCGCCACTGGGAAGGGACGCGTTCGCACACCATCCGTGGCCGAGAGTTCTTCAGTATGCATTCCCTCCGCTGTCCTGCATTCTCCCACTGTTAGCCAGGGTAAGATCAGGCGGGCTGTCAATAATATTGGTAGCCCCCGATCGCCCAGGGGCTCCATGGTTTGCGGAGATGAGTCAGATGTTGATTGCGCCACCTTGGCCCATTCCACATCGACGGGACGCGTTGTCTCAGGCGGGAGGCTCGATAGGGCGATTGCCCATAATCGGCCAACCACTGAAGGCTTGGCTCCTGAGAGGGACAGGCTAGAGCGCCGTGGGTTATCTGATTCAGTAATCAGGACCATACAGGGTTCACGTGCCAGTTCCACTTCCAGGGTGCATGCCAGTAGATGGAACGTTTTTTCACAATGGTGCGTCACAGAGAATGTAGACCCCATGAGCTGTCAGGTTGAGAGTGTTCTCTCTTTCCTGCAGTTTATGTTTGATAAGCAGCGATCGCCCGCCACCATTAAGGTGTTTGCAGCGGCGATTTCAGCTTGTCACGAGGGGTTTGGCAGAGTCTTCAGCCACCCTCTAGTGAAACGTTTCTTATTAGGAACGCGGCGGCTTAGGCCAATGCCTAGAGCCACGCTTCCTCAGTGGGATTTGACTTTGGTACTCGAAGCGCTATGTAAGTCGCCGTTCGAGCCATTGAATCAAATACCCCTCAAGATGCTGTCTATGAAGACGGCACTGTTGCTCGCTTTGACTACTGCTAAGCGTGTTAGTGATTTGTGTGCTCTTTCGACGAGACCCGACTGCCTTGCCATTAATGGCGATCTGAGCAGAGCAGTGTTCGTCCTAACCCGGCATTTGTGCCGAAGGTTATTAAGAGCTCATATAGATCACAGACCGTGGAGCTGTGGGCTTTTTCTCCCCCTCCTCATGGGGAGAGGAGTGAGGAAAGGCTCCATCGCCTGTGCCCAGTGCGCGCTTTGGCGTGTTACGTTGAGCGCACAGCAGTGATTAGGTCATCGCCTCAACTGTTTGTGTGTCACCGTGCAGCTGCACTAGTTAGACCACTTTCAAAACAGCGTCTGTCTCATTGGCTTTGTGAAGGCTTATGAGGCAGCGGGGCGACAATTGCCTCAGGCTATAAGAGCCCACTCCACTTGTGGAGTAGCGGCTTCTACTGCCCTTTTCAGAGGAACAGGGGTAGAGGATATCTGTGCAGCGGCGTCGTGGTCGTCACCGTCACCATTTATCCGGTTCTATCTCTTGGATATGTCTTCTAACTCTTTGGCTCAGTCTGTACTCAGCGTGGCTGAGGGGAGGACTTGAGCTAAGAGAGAGGAATGTGGGACTGAGGAGACAGGTCTCTTTCAGGTCCGCTTCTGATTGGAGGACATATTTTGGCATGACCCCTGACTGACATGTTCAGTACAGTAGAAGGCATGCATTGATCTGCCACCAGTGAATAACTGGGTTGAGGCGGAATGATGAGGGAACCTTGGTTACGGTACTATTAGACCGGTCATGACAATTTTGACGGAATGTGATGTCATCTATCTGCTTGTTCAGATTAGTATGAATCATGTTCTGGGATCTGCCCACTAATCTCTGGGGTTTCATTGATTGAGTGGGGCGGGCTACCGTGTACACAATGTAGAGCGACACTTTGTGTCATTCCATTAGTGGTCAGTATTATTGTAACATGATATTGAGGTACCATCTATCTGCTAGTACAGATTAGTATGGCCCATATTCTGGTGCTCTGCCTACTAGTCATTGGTGTTGCCATTGGCCTAGGTGGGGCGGGTTTTAACCGATGATATTGTGACACTTGTATGGTGATACAGTGGTTGCAGTACTGCGGGACTTGGTTGCAGCCATTGCTAGGCCTGACCGTTTCATTTTGATGGGAAGTGTTGGGCTCGGCAGGGAGCGTTTCACTCCGCCTTAAACCAATAGGAGCAGAGCTCCCCTATGGGGTGGAGCTCCACGATATAGAACGATAGTTACCGGAGTGTAATTCCAGTTCTATGAGTGGAGCGGAGCCCCAAAGGACTTAAGGCCCTGCCGACCCTCTCTAGTCTCGCTGAAGATAAATATCTCGGGAGGCTGATTGATGGGAAGCGTCTCCTCTTATAGGGACACCTGTACTCCTATTGGCTGCAGGTGTGTGCATAATTTTGTCTCAGGCTGATGCTGCCTTAGGGCAGTGGGTAAACCAATAGGAGCAGAGCTCCCCTATGGGGCTCCACTCCACTCATAGAACTGGAGTTACACTCCGGTAACTATCGTTCGCCATGCTCAGAACATGATGCGGCCACAGGGGGAAAGATTTGGCGTGTAGTGGTGACGTCAGACCGTCTGGTTAAGTAGCCAATACAAAATTTATATAATGTTCATTGATTGGGTTAATATGAACCGTCACTCCAAAACTAGTGGACCAATGGAGGCTCATTATCTACGCCTCTCTAAACACCGCCCTTCACTAGAAAAAAAATGTCAAATCTCGCAATCGAAAAAAACTGGCATCGAAAGCCAAGATGCAAGTAGCATAACCAAAAGGTAGTACATACAGGCAAGAGCGTAGACAAAATGGATCCAATAGGATTGGTTGTTGGAACATAACTGAAAACGATTTTTGCATTCGTTTTCGAATACGTTTTTCAATCATTTGTCATAGAAATTTGCTCTCGCTTAAAAATTATTTGTTTGCAAGTTTTTGGGTTTTGCTTTTGATAATTTGTTTACAATTCTATACATGTTGCTTTCAATTGTTAAGGTTTTTGATTTCAACATCCATCATGACCTTTCCTCAAATATCATGTTTACATTAGTAACTATATTCTTCATGTTTACGATTTATTTTATTTTAAATTCAATACATATGGCGTGAAATGGTCCCATAAGGTCTGATTGATTTAGTTTCTCCCAGTATCTGGCCCACACTCCAGTACAGTAGGTGGCGGTAATGCACCATAACGTTGTCAACCAACGATAAACCCCACCGAAGAACCTGGTAGTTTAGATTACTGAACAGAATGACACGCTGACTAAATGTTCAACAAAAAAAAAAAAAAAAACTTTATTTCAGAGAATCAGAACAGAATCAGAGGGTTCCTCAGTCTTGCTTTGCAGAATAAAAATGAGAAACATTTGCAGAATCTTGCACATGCACATTGCAACACATTTCCTTACTTCATTAGATTTGTGTGTATTGGCTATATGTAGTGAAATTGTTAGATATTACAGCACTGTCGGAGCTAGAAACACAAGCATTTCGCTACACCCGCAATAGCATCTGCTAAACACGTGTATGTGACCAATACAATTTGATTTTAAAAGTCAGACAGATAAAGTCATGACAGGCCTGACGGAAACAGAACATTTTTGGGTAAATTATCCAAACTCCAACGAAACACACTAGACAAGGTGGAATCTTTTTGTGTCTGTAAAACAAATTATGCGAGAAATGTTAGTGGAAACGCGTTGACAGAGCTCAAGAAAGATAGGAACAAATATTTGAACCATCTGCCTCGCTCTTAAAGGGATTGTAATCAGACAAGTACTTTACCGAGCAAAATATTGTCAGATTAAAGTTGCAGTTGGGGGAGAGTGCGAATGTCAAGGGACAGTGAGCACAGTTCTCAGTTTGATAAAGAGGGACGGTTTGAAATAATTATTTTGTGGTGTGGACCTAGTCCTGGGGTGTTCAAATACAGAAGAAACATTTTACATTTTAGTCATTTAGCAGACGCTCTTATCCAGAGCGACTTAGTGAGTGCATACATTTTCATACTGGCCCCCCGTGGGAAACGAACCCACCCTGGCGTTGCAAGCGCCATGCTCTACCAACTGAGCTACAGGGGACTAAACCCTACTTAACCCATAAAACAGACAGTTTGTTTCTTATGCCTACACTTTCTAACAGGGCAGCAGCTCATTACAGTATCATTCACACAAACAGGGAAGGGGTTTGGGGTGGGGTGTGTGGGTTTGTGTTGTATAAAAAAAAACAGGAAATTAGTAAAGACAGGAAAGCCCCTCTTAGTACTCGTCTGCCTGGGTCGCCATCTTGTAGCCGTTCTCGTTGGAAACATAGCCCTCCCCCGACTGCACCGACTCCTGGTCCATCAACCCATCCTGGCTGTTCTCCTCTGGCTTGGGCGGCGCTTCGCCCTCCTCCCCGTTACCCACGTCGTCCTGCTCGGCCGAGGGGAGCAGGAGAGAGCCATGCCGGTCCTCCCTGCGCTCCCCGCCACCCCGCTCCCGGTCTCTCTTATGCTCCCGGTCTTTCTCCCTGTCCCCCCTGTGCCTCTCCCGGTCCCTATCGCGGTCCTTGTCCCTGTGGCTGCGCCTCCGGTCGCGTTCCCTCTCCCTGTCCCGCTCCCTCCCGCCACGCTCCTCTCCCACCTCTCCCCCTTCCTCACCCACGCTAGGCTCTTCAGGCATTCTCTCTCCTCCCTCCGCCATCATACCTTCTCCTAGCCCCATGCCCTCATCCCCCTCGCCACCCTTGCCCCTCTCCCGGTCTCGCTTGCGCTCTCGGCTGCGGCTCCTCCTCTTCCTTTCGCCCTTGTCTCTGCTCCTCTCCCTGCTACGACTATCTCCCCCCTGGCCCTCCTCCCCCCCGCTCCCTCTCTCGGTCTCTCCTCCTGCCACCCCCTACGCTCTCCTCTCCGGGCCCTGCCAGGCCCAGACCCCTGTCGCCCCTCTCCCTCTCCCTGGAGCGAGAGCTGCGCCTGCGTCTTTCCCGGGACCGGGACCTCCGTCTCTCGCCACCGCGCTCTTTCTCCCCCCCCCGTTCGTGCTCACGGCTGCGCTCGCTGCGCTCTCTGCGCTCCCCTCTGGGCTCAGGTCCACGTTCGCGCTCTCGTTCCCTGAGGTGAAGAGAAGGGCAAAAATAACAGTCAACTGACAAACCTCTACAGAAAATATCAAGTCAGTCAAACCACAAAATGTCCAATCCCAAATCTACCACTAGCCCATATCCTCTAGACTTTCATAGATCTAAAATAATTGGATAGATGTAACTAAGGAATATGGTAGTAAATCCATCTTGCCGTCACATTATTTTCCCGTATATTGCTACATCTATCCAATTATTTTGGGTCTAATGGGTAGGGCCTATTTGGAATAGGGTGACAATCCTCCCTTGGTAGACCACCCCAAGGGCCGAGTGTAGTTACTCACCCGCCAATTGGGGGGTGGTCATCGTAACGTGAGGCGTCGTCTCTTCCAGAGTGCTTGATGTTGACGTCAGCCCCGCCTCTCCTCGTCCCACCAAGACCACCACCTGGTTGGGGACAGAAAACAGGGCTCATTGTGATGCATTCATTTCCTGTCTATGATTTATGTATTTAAAAACGGACAAATACAATATTAAAAGGGATTCATAAATGGCAAATGCCAATTTGAAGAGAATCAGCTGTTCCAAAACATTCAATTAATTCATGCAGTCACAGAGATCATGTGTAGTTCCTCACCTAGCCTGCGGGGCTGCCATCCCTTCACAGTGCGGCCTCTTTCCACATCCACCAGCACTCTCCTCCCGTCGATTTTCTTGCCGTCTGCATGCTTGTAGGCGGCTGGAGGGGAGGGGAGGAGGGGGGGGGGGGGGGGGGTGATGACAGAAAAGGTAGAGAAGGGTAAGTTGGAGCTCTGCTATTTCACAAGGTAAGGATAACAAAGAGTGCATGAATATACTGACCAGGAGCAGGTGAGGTAGTGTGGAGCTGCTCTCTGGGCAGACAGACCATGTAGTAGTAGACCCTTTTCCACCACTAAATGAAGCTTTTACCTGCACATCTTTCGCTTTTTTGAAGATGTACCACAGCTTAAGTATTTTGTTGTGAAGCACTTTACTTCAGTAAATCAATTTTGAAATGCTAATGAGGGATAGAATAATAAATTAATTCTAGCCGCAAATTACAAGTGAGCCGGTATAGTAGATAAAAATGTACCAAAGTCTGCCTTCCAAAGCATGAATTATTCAAATCTCTAACCTTAGATTTTATTATATAATATATTCAAACAAAAAACATTGAAGTTAGGCCTATATGATTGCTCTGTGTCATGTATGGTTTCTGTGGAGCACCAGAGACCGAAAAAAGTGAAACTCTGCTTTAAAATAATTTAAATCTTACTTAGGTCTAGTAGTGACATTTTAGTCATTTAGCAGACGCTCTTATCCAGAGCGACTTACAGTTAGTGTGTGCATACATTTTTCATACTCTACTGTTGCATGGCTCATTTTACCTTGAAGCTAAAAGGTTAGTGTTTATACCCGGGGTACTCAACTCTTACCCTACGTGGTCCGGAGCCTGCTGCTTTTCTGTTCTGCCTGATAATTAATTGCACACCTGGTGTCCCAGGTCTAAATCAGTCCCTGATTAGAGGGGAACGATGGAGGGGGGGGGGGGAATGCAGTGGAACTGGCTTCGAGGACCAGAGGTGAGTAGACCAATCAATGGTCTTGACTTCGCCCACAACTATAAGCTAAATTCATACATCTAGGGAAGCGAGCATAACGCTCAATATCAATTATATATGTATACCCATAAATTATGACACATGAATGTAGCCTTGGTTAAGATTTTTACCTAAAACTATATGCATTTAAAATTGCTCCATAGTGATGAAAATACCCAGCTTTTCATAACTATAAACTTTCATCATGGGATTCTGTGTAAAAATTAATTAATTTAAAGCTACGGCAGTCAGATGAATGGACCATTCTCAATAATGGTTTATTACTGAATATTGCGTGTCCCTAGTGGTTAGCCTAGCGGTAAAAAGCGTTAGGCCAGTAACCGAAAGTTTGTTGGTTCAAATCAGAGCGGACTAGGTCAAAATAAATCTGTCGATGTGCCCTTGAGCAAAGCACTTAACCCTAATTGCTCCTGTAAGTAGCTCTGGATAAGAGCGTCTGCTAAATGACATGAAATGAAAACGAGTGGTCCAAGCAGTTGACAGCACTTTGATGTGGAGTGCGTTTGAGAGCCCGTCACTTGAAATAAATCAGATGACAATAATTAATATCCAACCTGACAAATTGATGAGAAATGCATTTGTGCATGTTCACACATTGTCACATCTACAACCTCTTACCCAGAAGGAACAGTGAATAGGAGTCACCCCCATGGGTAAGATAGACACCCACTTCACTTACAAAAGCACGTCTAACCACTTATAGGTGGAAAAATAGATTTTCTACCAGTAGCTAGGTTTCCATCCAATTGTCGTCAGATTTTAATACAAATATTGCAAAATGTGCATTTCCAAAATGACTTGTTGCGGCAAAAGACAATCAGTGCGTGATGACGTAGCGCACACATAACCATCTGTAGTTGAAAAAGCGTTACTTTTTTTGTCACAAAAACTGTTGCATTTAATAGCAAATGTGCCTACGCTCGCATATACAGTACGGGTAGGCTAGTCTACATGAGATAATGGAGAAGATAATATTTTGTCAAACGGCAGTCAAGCGTCAATCATCATGTCACCAGCATAAGACCCTCGATATTTATTGGAAAGTAGAATAAAGCTCATCATCGTGCACTTTCACCACCCTGTGAAGTTCATCCATATATTTGATCTGTAGCCTAATAAACTGCATGGTTTCCCGAGTCATAGTGGGAGGACCACACACCATATCGATTCCAAGTTTAATTCGATAAGATGGTAATTATATCAATATTTGCACATAAGTCATTTCCACCGCCATCTCGCACATAATTCATTTTACTGACAGAAAGATCCCACCATGTCGAACTAACAAATTCAGTCAGCATTTATAAAATTGTACCGAAACTTCCTGTTTCCATCACAGCTGTCGTTATTTTTTTAAATATGGTATGACTTTACTCTAAAAACTGTGGATAGAAACGTGGTTAGTGACAAACCACAGGTGGCTCTGCACTGCAAATCCTTTCGCTTTGAACACACTGACTGTTTCATTGCGTTTATTTCCAATGGAACGCTGCGTTTGCCCTGCAGCATTGCGTTGCAGAGGCAGTTGCAGTGCGTTCTGTGTTGTGCATACGTTGGATTTATCGAACGTATGCGTCAAACTGTATGCGTTAACGAGTTGACAGAAATGGTAGCAGAAGGTGAATGTTGAACTTTTGTTGCACACATATCTAAATGATGCTGCATACTATTTTTCTGTGTTCAAAGCGTAACACCTTAGGCACGTCCTGCGATAGCCATCGTCACTGGCACAACCACACACCACTCCTGGTGTTCTTACCCCCCTCCCTGGTTCAGTGAGAAATAAAATACCAGTGACACATTGGTTTGAGTTATTTACTCTGATTGCCAGAATACACAGCCTTTTATGGTAATGCTGCTTATTACACCAACATCTTCTTACCCAATACATGTTGTGCTTCTGACTCTAGTGAGGCTAGTGTAAATTTGGTTGCCTTACATACAACCTCTGACCTGCTTGTAATACTTGTCTGGAGGGGGAGATATAATCAAATGTGTCATGAGTTAAATGTGACCATGTTCACATACCTTAGTTGGGGCTTTACGGGCTGCTGTTTGTTTTTCGTCAACTATCTTACCACCACCTGGACACGAGCGCAGTGTCGAACTCAGAACCTCCCGGAGCATAGGGCTTCCAGTTGCCAGTCAACATGGCAGTCTCCTGCTTCTGCCAGATTTAACACCATAGTCTGCAGCTTCGGAGTCAAACTCAGAACACGCACAAATATATATACTCCCTTGGCCCAGACAGTCTTGGGATCAGTCTCTTATGACCGAAGAATTCGGCGAGATCCATGATGACCCATCCTGGCCTCTACACTGGTCTGCTCTGCTGTGGAAGACGATCCAATGAGAAACGGCACAGAGGACTCTTTCCTCTTTATATCCAATCAGAGGGCCTTACCAGAACCACTCGCTTAACCATTCAAAAGGCCTTACCAGAACCCCTCGCTTTTATAGCCAATCAGAGGGCCTTACCAGAACCCCCTCTAGATCACAGCAAATTATCACTGTACTTTCATGACACCTCACAGGTTTATACTACCAGGGGGCCTTACCACAACCCCTCACTAACCTAACCAATCCGGGTTTGTCTTACCACAAACCATAACCTTCTCAACCAATCAGAGATGACTTCACTCAAAGGGGGGTTGCCTTACCTCAACCCCCAAAACGACTTGAATACAAGGCCTAAATACAATCTTACTATACAAGCACACGTATGGTGCATATCAAAAGGTTATTTTAAGAAACAGAAAGGTATGTATCTAGAGAAAATGAGACAAGTGTTTGGTGTAGGCTAGAATAAAATGTAGGCTAGTTCCAGTGGTGACATGTTTCCTCACTAGACTGGTTCTATTAGCTGTATACACCTGATCCTTAATATCAGCTGTGGTAAAGAGATCTGGGGGTGAGATGACTGCCATGTCTGAATGAACTATCGCTATGCTCTTGTTGGCATCTGCTCTTGCCTAGTTCTATAGTAGGGGCAAAGCTACATGTGCATAATTATGTGCCTTGCTGTAAAAGTGGTTAGAGTCCCGTCGTAAGCCTAATCCATTAAAGCCAGCTCGACGCACACAAGAAAGGACCTTAACTTACAACGCTAGGGGATTTTGTCTTGGGCATGTGGTCTTTTTGACGCAATGTTATGCAAAAGATTGTCCTTTTCTTAATGATTATGCAAGAGACAACTTGCTAAAATGCTGTTGTTTCAGACAAATACAATAATCAAAACAGTAAAAGCTCTTAGGCCTATATGTAAAAGTGCTAAAAGGGATACATCGGAGGTGGCTTTAACACAAAAGGAAAACTCATAGGGCACCCATTAACTGACTAATGGCCTGGGGGTGCGTTCAATGGTCAAAGCACCAGCTCTGTCTTACCAATGTCAATACTGTTCAGGCAACATTTAAGCAGCTTCAAAAAAAAATTTGCTTTGCCCATTGAACGTAGCTCCTCTTCCCTAAATAGGAGGATGAAGGGTGGAAAGAAAGCTTACCCATCATACAAACCCATCATACCAACCATATACTGAGCTGTGGTAGTAGGGTGTAGATGTATCATAACCATCATCATCTGCAAGCCAGCTCTGGCCAATAGCCATCACAGATAGGCGGCTGCAGTGGCAATGAGAACAACAAACAGTTAATACACTACAGAGCCAGCATAGACATCCCCTCACAAGTCAACCCTCACCTGAGTCACATCATACCAAGGGTGGGCGACCCTGGTCCTGGGGAACACTATTCCCTGCCTGTTCATTGCACGACCCTAAGTGTTCCAGCAATGAATCAGCGACCACGTTCCAGACAAGCTACATTGCAGTCGCGCTGTGCGGATACTTGCCTAATCACCGACTAGCAGTCAGGCATCAGATTCCTATTTGATATGATTTGGTTTGCTGATATGTAAAACAACTACCCAGGTGTTGCGAGATCTGGCAAGTGATTACAATGTAGTCAGCCTGGGAGGTGGCCAAGTAAGTAGCAATCTTAGTGAGCAACCGATTTACACCTGGAACACCCATCTCCCTGACAATTTGTTTAAATTCGATCAATGAGAAAAATACCAGCAGGCATGGTAGCTCGCCAGGACCAGGGTTGAAGACCACTGATATGAGCTGATAGAAATGGCCTAGTGTCACACAACAGCACAGAGATGAGGGTACCCAAGTTAACCAGACAAGGTAGGGGGCACTAGCCTGTTGGTGACCTGTAGCTTACCGTTGGTGGTCCAACCAGGAAACCTACCTGTTCCACAGATGACTTAGCACTCCTAACTATTACAGGCCTAACCTACAGCAAGCAAAGGCATTCAAGGTGACCAGAAGAACAAGGCTTAGTTGTTTATGCATACAAAACATAGGCCAAACCTTCCCACCCCTCCCACTGATTGGAACCGCCACATAGGAGAAGTGCCATGGCTGGACTAACTGCACTCGCTCAGACAAGTGCAGTACAGAAACCATTTCACTGCTGTACTTGAGTTAGTCAAGAGATCATCATGCGCCACAAACAAGACAGACGTCACACACAAACCTCACTCAGCACCTTGTTTCCCCTAATTAATAACATATCGCCATAACTCAAAGTTATGAAAATAAAGAGGATGGATGGATTTTGGAGACCCTTGTATTCAGAGTTGTATCTTTAACTTGTGTGGACTGTGGGTCCATATTTTTAAACCCCTTGCCAGTAGGCTTGGGTGGTATACCGGGGTATTTGGAAAAAGCCACAGGATGGTTTGTCAATACCGTCAATACCGTTGAAACTATTTATTTGAAGTTAATTAATAAATTTGAATATTTGTAGCTACTTAAGTAGATACCTGCAGTCAACTTGTGCAATAAGTTAGGAGATAAAGAACATTGTGTTCTTCATTTCACCAGACACATTATTATGAAGCTGACGGTAGTCCCCAGTCACGTGGTGTTTGTTTACAAGCACACAACTACGAGAGACCGGAGCCTTGTGAGTCACTCACTGTTGTGCAGCATGCGCCAAGTGATCTAATTACAGTATGGTAAGTCTAAATGTTAACTGTCTAAAATATGCTAACTGTTCTGCAGTTGTGCGTTTGGTTTGCTAATTTAGTAGCTAGTTAGCTATCTAGCTAAGTGGTTAGCTTCTTCCAAAATCAAGCATTCACTTGGTAACAGCAGAGAATCCCCTCCTGGATCAAAAGCCTTGCTGGCTGATATTGGTTTTGTGCGTGCAGCAAACTGTGTAGCATTTGAGTTACCTGTATAGTTTAGGTCAGAAACTGCACAAAACGTTCGCAATGCAGTCGTTAGCATTTAGTTAGCTTTCTCTATGGCATTTTACATGTACTTGTTAGCATTGCTAACCTTCGGATTACAGAGTATCAGTTGGGTTTGAAAACCGCGCCCCTTGTGTTCAGTGCCGGTATTACCGAATATCCCTGTGTGGCACAAGGTCGGTATGAAGGTATGACAATCTAGATACCGCCCAAGCCTACTTGCCAGCTAGTTCTCCTTCTCTCACCATTGTGCCAATCCAAACCATACTCTGCTGGCTTGGATACTTTCCTTTCACCATGTCCTCGCAGCGTAATCAGGCCAGCGCAGTACAGCTCGGTGTGGCTCAGCAGTGTGAAAATTGTACTTTTATATTTGGCAGATATTAAGAGTGGGCCTAAGACTATGGATAAATGTGAAACCATCACCCAACGTGGCCCTTCAATGGGAAATCACACCAAGGACAGCATAAGCTGCTAGTGCAGTACAGAAAATAACCACATTTAAAAAACGGAGCCTAGTCAGTTGCTACTCAGTCAAGAGGGTTCCTCCTACACTGAGCAAGAGTATAAGGTGCTGATGTTAACTAATAGTCAGCAACACCAACTGCTACAACTTGTAAAGCTATAGTGAAATTATTTTAAAAATTGTAAGCTCCCAAAATTGATCTGGTGCATTTCTTTCGGTACCTTCTTGTTCATGTCTCGCTTACACGAGTCCTTCAACAAATACTATCCCACCTACGTACCCTCCCAGCATTCAGACTCCCATTTGAGATGAGGTGAGTTATGAGGGGGGGTTGGCCTCTCGTGGTACTCACAGTGCATGTCTCTCTCGTGCTCGTACTCTATGAAGGCGTAGCCTCTGGGCTTCCCTGACCGCTTGTTGTAGACGATGTAAATCTGGAAGAGAGAGCGACTATAATAACGCTAGCTGAACAAGCTGGGGGGGGGGAGAGAAAGCAGAGGACCAACTGCCACTGTAACAAATGGACAATAAGTAAACCAAAAGGTGGTTTGGAGACCAAGACAACTTACCCTTTTGATGGGTCCGTAGACCTCAAACTCACGGCGAAGCTTGGATTCTGTTGTGTCATAATTCTGCAGCAATGATAACACAGTTAACATCTATCCCGTCAGAACTTGGCGGGAAAACCTTTTACAAATCAAATGTTATTCGTCACATTTACGAAATACAACAGGTGTAGACTTTACTGGCAGCTTGGTCTTAGAATTGTCTTCAGAACACACTTCTGGGCCTCATACCATTCTATAGAAAATGTAAGATATGCTTCAAGAAGTGGATGCTTGGTTTTCATTTTATTGTGGTGTACGTGTGCTGCATTTGTTATTATTCACTACACGGTTTTAGTCTCAGTGGCCAAGACAGGATGGAAGAGAAGGTAAAGATGCCATGGGACACGGAAGGTAGCCTGTATAATACACACTTACCACGCGAGCCACAAACAGGGTCTTGAAGGCATCCCCCTGAGCATTGGGGTCATTGTGTGGATCCCCTGGAAGAAGGCAGAACCAAATATCACAACCTGACCATCAACTTTCAGTAAGTCCTATGAAATGTCACAAAAGCTCATCCATGTCAACGTACAGAGCTTCAGTTCTGTCTCCACAACCGTCTGCCTCCTCTCGATCTTCTCCCTCCTCTGTAAAACAGAAACAGGTTAGCTAGGCCCCTCACTCAATCTCCAAATGGTTACTGTACATGTAAATTAAAGCCATGTACTAGTACACCCTACTGAAGATTTCCACTTATCCAATCTTATTCAGATACGCACTGAGGGTTTCAGAGACTAAAAGTGAAAAGAAATGCCCACAACGGGGAATGACCTCTTCCAATTGTCTCACCTTTCTCTCCAACCTCTCATCACGAGTTTCTGCCCTAGTAGGGGGAGGGGCATCTCTGGGGTCCTATCAAAACAGTTCAAAAGTTAGGCTAATAAAAAGGTAGAGGGCCAAAGGCATTGTCAAATAATACACCAAAATAGCCAACTATCCATCTCATTCATGAAGAGTGTAATTGCACAAGGGCCAGGTCGGTTTGCCTTACCTCAAAGTGCCTGATGAAGGGAGCAATGCCGCAGTATGGCTGGTTGTGGTGTTTCTCATGGGGCAGCTTCTCCAACTGCGTCAGAAATGGTATGGGGTCCCGCGGCGCAAATAGGGCCAGCAGGTTGGGGGGTAAAAACTGGGTCATCTTTCACCTGCAGCGAGAAAAAGAGATGTTTAGTTTACAAACTACGTAGTTACTAATAATATGCAGACATGGAGTTGCATCAGTGTTGCCATTAGGCAGTGTGGACAGAGCCACAAAGGCTTGGAAGACCATTGTGAACCATGTGCAGCTCAATTTCTTCTGCAAAGCTACCTAAATTACTTCCACGTAGCTAGCAAGGTAAGGTAACATCTTATTTTCATGTGTGGAACTAGCTTTGAAGCTAGTGTGTAAGAGAATTGATCAATGTTGCCAAACTATGCTCAATCTTCCCTTACCTGGAGGCTTCAAGGAAAATGAAGGCTGGAAAGTCACAGGTTAACTCGTCAACATGGGACTCCTTCCCAATAAACATTTACAAGGATAGCTAGCTAGCTGGAATAGTGAATGCTTTAGGCAGGTTATATACACATACCACACAAACAGAAATATCAAAACGCAACAATTTCAAAGAATTTATTGAGTTACAGTTCATAAGGAAATCAGTCAATTGAAATAAATGCATTAAGCCCTAATCTATGGATTTCACGGCTGGGAATACAGATGCATCTGTTGCTCAGAGATATAAAAAATAAAATAAAATAAATAGGGGTGTGGATCAGAAAACCAGTCAGTATCTGGTGTGACCACCATTTGCCTCCTGCAGCGCAACGTTTCCTTTGCATTGAGTTGATCAGGCTGTTGATTGTGGCCTGTGGAATGTTGTCCCACTCTTCAATGGCTGTGCGAAGTTGCTGGATATCAGCAGAAACTGGAACACGCTATCATACACGTCGATCCAGAGCATCCCAACATGCTCAATGGATGACATGTCTGGTGAGTATGCAGGCCATGGAAGAACTGGGACATTTTCAGCTTCCAGAAATGCAGTCAGGTGGTGAGGATGACGAGCACGCAGATGAGCTCCCAATACTGTTTGACAGTTTGTGCAGAAATTATTCGGTTGTGCAAACCCACAGTTTCTTCAGCTGTCCGGGTGGCTGGTCTCGGACGATCCAGCAAGTGAAGAAGCCAGATGTGGAGGTCCCGGACTGGCGTGGTTACACGCGGTCTGCGGGTGTGAGACAAGTTGGACGTACTGCCAAATTCCCCAAAACACGGAGCCGGCTTATGGTAGAGAAATTAACATTCAATCTCTGGCAACAGCTCTGGTGGATATTCCTGCAGTCAGCATGCCAATTGCAAGCTCAAAACTTGGAGACATCTGTGCACATTTTGTTCCTAGCACAAGGTGCAACTGTGTAATGATCATGCTGTTTAATCAGCTTCTTGATATGCCACACCTGTCAGGTGGAGGATTATCTTGCCAAAAGATAAATTATTACTAGCAGGGACGTAAACAAATGTACACAAATGAGAAATAAGCTTTTTGTGCATATGGAACATTTCTGGGATCTTTTATTTCAGCTCATGAAACATGGGACCAACACTTTACATGTTGCGTATATTTGTTCGGTATAGTTGGCAGCCAACTAAACGCAACTCCACAATTTACTATTGAGTTGAGCTGCGACTAGTGTGGGTGGACTGGTGCTCCGACGTCACATAAAATTAAGTTATCAAAAACCACTAATTTCAGCACCCAAAGAGTAGCCCACAATTGCGGTCTGAGGAAGAAGCGGACCAGGAGGTGTGATGACACGAAAGCGTAAGAATGCTGCTGCTAAGATCAGAGATTAATCTCCCATGTATACACCTTCATTCGAGTACACACACAGTGCCTTCGTAAAGTATTCAGACCCCTGACTTTTTCCACATTTTGTTACGTTACAGCCTTATTCTAAAATAAAAAATGGTTTGTTTTTTCTCATTAATCCACACACACACAATACCCCATAATGACAGGTTTTTAGATTTCTTTGCAAATTTATAAATTTAAAAAACCCCGGAAATATCACATTTACGTAAGTATTCAGACTCTTTACTCAGTACTTTGTTGAAGCACCTTTGGCAGCAATTACAGCTTCTAGTCTTATTGGGTATGATGCTACAAGCCTATTGCCTTACCTCCATAACTTACTACATTCGCACACACTGTATATATTTTTTTGACTTTGTTTTGTTTCCCCCATATGTAACTCTGTGTTGTTGTTTTTAAATCGCACTGCTTTGCTTTATCTTGGCCAGGTCGCAGTTGTAAATGAGAACTTGTTCTCAACTGGCTTACCTGGTTAAATAAAGGTTAAATAAAGAAAAGAAAAAAAAGCTTGGCACACCTGTATTTGGGGAGTTTCTCACATTTTTCTCTGCATATCCTTTCAAGATCAGGTTGGAAGGGGAGTGTCGCTGCACAGCTATTTTCAGGTCTCTCCAGAGATGTTTGATTGGGTTCAAGTCCGGGCTCTGGCTGGGCCACTCAAGGACATTCAGAGACTTGTCCAGAAGCCACTCATGCGTTGGCTTGGCTGTGTGCTTAGGGTCATTGTCTTGTTGGAAGGTGAACATTCGCCCCAGTCTGAGGTCCTGAGCAGGTTTTCATCAAGGATCTTTATTTTCCGCCCTTCACCTTTCCCTCGATCCTGACTAGTCTCCCAGTACCTGCTGCTGAACAACATCCCCACAGCATGATGCTGCCACCACGCTTCACTGTAGGGATGGTGCCAGGTTTCCTCCAGACGTGATTAATGGCATTCAGGCCAAAGAGTTGAATCTTGGTTTCATCAGTCCAGAGAATCTTGTTTCTCATGGTCTGAGAATCTTTAGGTGCCTTTTGGCAAACTCCAAGCAGGCTGTCATGTGCCTTTTACTGAGGAGTGGCTTCCGCCTGGCCACTCTACCATAAAGGCCTGATTGGTGGAGTGCTGCAGAGATGGTTGTCCTTCTGGAAGGTTCTCCCATCTCAACAGAGGAACTCTGGAGCTCTGTCAGTGACCATCGGGTTCTTGGTCACCTCCCTGACCAAGGCCCTTCTCCCCTGATTGCTCAGTTTGGCCGGGCGGACAGCTCTAGGAATAGTCTTGGTGGTTCCAAACTTCTTCCATGAAAAACATTATGGAGGCCACTGTGTTCTTCGGGACCTTCAATGCTGCGGACATTTTTTGGTACCCTCCCCAGAATTGTCTCAACACAATCCTGTCTCGGAGCTCTACGGACAACTCCTTTGACCTCATGGCTTGGTTTTTGCTCTGACATGCACTTTCAACTGTGGGAGCTTATATAGAGAGGTATGTGCCTTTCCAAATCATGTCCAATCAATAGAATTTATCACAGGTGGACTCCAATGAAGTTGTAGAAACATCAAGGATGAGCAATGGAAACAGGATGCACCTGAGCTCAATTTTGAGTCTCATAGCAAAGGGTCTGAATACTTATGTAAATAAAGGTATACGCTTTAAAATGTTATACATTTGCTAACATTTTTAGCAACCCGTTTTCGCTTTGTCATTATGGGGCATTGTGTGTAAATAATATTTCATCCATTTTAGAATAAGCCTGTAACGTAACAAAATGTGGAAAAAGTCAGGGGTCTGAATACTTTCCAAAGGCACTGCATATATATTACACACACAAAAGTATGTGGACACCTTCATAATTAGTGGATTCAGCTATTTCAGCCACACACAGGTGTATAAAAATCGAGCACACAGCCATGCATGCAATTTACGTACACAAACATTGGCAGTGGAATGGCCTTACTGAAGAGCTCAGTGACCTTTTCAACAAGTCAGTTCGCAACATTTCTGCCCTGCGAGAGCTGTCCCGATCAACTGTAAATGCTGTTATTGTAAAGTGGAAACGTCTAGGAGCAATAACGGCTCAGTCGCGAAGTGGTAGGCCACACAAGCTCACAGAACGGGACAGCCGAGTGCTGAAGCGCATAGCATGTACAATTCTGTCCTTGGTTGCAGCACTCACTACAGAGATCCAAACTGCCTCTGGAAGCAACATCAGCACAATAACTGTTCGTCTGGAGCTTCATGAAATGGTTTTCCATGGCCGAGCAGCCGCACACAAGTCTAAGATCACCATGCGCAATGTCAAGTGTCGGCTGGAGTGGTGAAAAGCTCGCCGCCTGGACTCTGGACCAGTGGAAACGGGTTCTCTAGAGTGATGAATCACGCTTCTCCATCTGGCAGTCCGACTGACAAATCTGGGTTTGAATTGGAACTCCAACTGCGAACCAGGCCTAATCGCCCAACCTCAATAATGCTTGTGGCTGAATGGAAGCAAGTCCCCGCAGCAATGTTCCAACATCTAGTGGAAAGCCTTCCCAGAAGAATGTAGGTTGTTGTAGCAGCAAAAGGGGGGCTAACTACATATTAATGCCCATGATTTTGGAATGAGAGGTTCAATGAGCAAGTGCCATATACATTTTAGTAATTTAGCAGACGCTCTTATCCAGAGCAACTTACAGGAGCAATTAGGGTTAAGTGCCTTGCTCAAGGGCACCGGCAGATTTTTCACCTAGTCGGCTCGGGGATTAGAACCAGCAACCTTTCGGTTACTGGCACAACGCTCTTAACCACTAAGCTACCTGCCGCCCCGTCATTTAGTGTACCTACGTCCCCTGATTACAAACCAAGTAATCTTCCTTGTAGGTCTTCATGCACTCGAGAACTTTGCTTATCTCAAAATTCAGTCAGTCAGCAGTGGTGAGCGCTCTGAAGTGGAGTCAGTCCAGGATGTAGTTAGTCTGCCTGCTGCGACGTGTGGTAATTTTGCCCAGATTCTGTACCGGTAGGAGCTAGATTTTTTAAGAGACTGTAATCCGGTTTTTGGGCCAACCCATGTTGTGTCAAGCTGGGTAAAGGACAAACTGGGAATGGTTACATCTGAAAGTTGAGAAATTGATTTGTTTTTATGCTGTATCCGCCTCCCAGAGGAAGTGGGCACTTCGAGGCTCGGGGCTCAACCTGTGGTGTCCTTTGCTCTCCGAAGCAGGGCGCTGTGGTGGATCAAATGAAAAATAATATTCCTAGTGTTTGTGATGCCCGCCGATTGGTGAGACGTAAACCCAGTGGCAATGGCGAGCATGAGAATACCCAGTCTTGCTGAGCTTTGACACATTTTCTACCTGATAAATTCAGGTTAAGTTAAATTTGCTATTCTGTGAGGGCCTATGTTCCGAACCCGCATCGGTGCCATAGATTTGGACATGTTGCAGTAGTGTGTAAAATGGAGATCCCAAATTGTGAGAAATATACAGGAGGGCATAGTCAGAGGGAGTGTACAGTTGGGATAGAGAAAGCACTGTGTCAACTGTGGAGGTGCCCATGCAGCTGGGGATCGAACGTGCCCTGAGAGAGACAGGTTGAGATTGCCAGAGTTCAAGTGGGGCACAAAGAGTCCTATGCTGAGGCAGTGAAGAGAGTAGAGGATAGCCCAAGGGTGAGTGAGTAGGCTTGAAGAGAGCAAGAGATTTTGAATTTAATAAGGTTGGATTTCTTGTGTTTATAGCCATGGTGATCAACTGCACTGAACCACCGTTATTGTGCATTAATGCCACCTACTGTACTGGAGCGGCACCACCTCCCGCATGTCCCAACTTGAAAATTGACCAATAAAAGGTATAGGGGTTCCTGCAGATGTAGGAACGCACATTTGCAGTAACGTCCCTAATTGCGGTCCGCAATTGCACCGTTCTCAATAATAAAACGTCACGAACTGTTCCAATCTGTTTCAGATGAGAATCATGAAGACGCCTTTAGAGCTAGTTGTCTGTCTTCCGACTAGACATCTCAGTGGTGGGCTAACGTTAGCTAACAATACAGTCAAACAATGGACCCACCTGGCTAACGTTAGTTTGCCAATCCACCAAAGCTTTAAGCTAATTAATTGCAGTAAGACGAGATACCTAAAACGAAATGTGGTACATTTTAACAGGTCGATTTTACCTAACGTTACATATTCCAGTTTAGCTATCTAGCTAACCACTGTCCAGCGTAGGCCTCGTGCCACCACTCAGACTCAGGGGCACTACACATTTGTCCCACTCACCTCAACTCTTCATTCAATCCCTTTAAAACTCCGAGAGCCCGAATCAGGCAACGTGGAATAAGAGCGTGCACTCTCCTTGTTCAAAGCAAGTTGTTTTCCCACAGATGAATATACTTCAGCCAAAGCGAAAGATAAAGTGGCTTAAGCTTGGTTAGCTTCTCGCCAGGAGAAAAAAAGATTTGGTCCTCAACTTAAAATGGCGGTATGCCGTAAAGGAACAACACTGTCGCGACAGTTCCTCTAATGTTTCACGACACTTTGGGCTAATTTACTTGAGACCTTGGTTTCCACAGAGAGGAAGGGGAGAAAGCGGCCAAACTCGGAGAAAAATCTTTCTCTCTCCAGCAGGTGGCATTTCTTCGTTATTTCGCCCATCAAACAAGGAGTTTTTGTATGGAGGTCAATGTTACGAGTGTACTGATATAAATAGGACACGTAACATTGAGAAAAAACACTGTCTCGAGATGGCTATGCATATTCATGATTGAGGCTAGTCGCATAGCACAGGTGGTTGACGTCAACAACCCTCATCGAATATTCAAAAAAGATTACAATAATGAGATGTATCCACCAATCCAAGGAAAGGTAGGCTGGAGCTAGATAGCCAGCCAATGCCGCTTTGTGGACAACAACTACCATTATTAGGGCGGAGAGACGTGTATCTTGCAGTATATCCATACTCTTTGGTTGGCACAAAGGGGCCAGGGTTCTGGTCTAGAAGCAGGGTTTCGACTACTGCTACAGTTTTGTTTTGGTTCTGCAGTTTAACTGACGCCCGGCCCAGAAAGACAATTTCCATCAAATGAAATTGTATTTGTCACATGCGCCGAATACAACAATACCTTACAAGCCCTTAAGTAAAAAAAGTAACTCAATAAAATAACAATAAACGAGGCTATATGCGGGGTTACAGGTTAGTCGAGGTATTATTTTTTGTTGTTGTCATTTAGCAGACACTCTTATCCAGAGCGACTTACAGGAGCAATTAGGGTTAAGTGCCTTGCTCAAGGGCACATCAACAGATTTTTCACCTAGTCGGCTCTGGGATTAGAACCAACTACCTTTCGGTTACTGGCACTACGCTCTTAACCACTAGGCTACCTGCCGCCCTATTGAGTTGAGGTAATTGCTGTAATATGTACATGTAGGTAGGGGTAAAGTGACTATGCATAGATAATAAACAGCGAGTAGCAGCAGTGTAAAAAAAATGCAAATAGTCCGGGTAGCTTTTGATGAATTGTTCAGCAGTTTCATGGCTTGGGGGTAGAAGCTGTTAAGGAGCCTTTTGGACCGAGACTTGGTGCTCTGGTACCGCTTGCCATGCGGTAGCAGAGAGAACAGTCTATGACTTGGGTGGCTGGAGTTTTTGACCCAAAAAATGTTTGGGGGTGGCCTTCCTCTGACACCGCCTAGTATAGAGGTCCTGGATGGCAGCAAGCTAGGCCCCAGTGATGTACTGGGCCGTACACACTACCCTCTGTAGCGCCTTACGGTCGGATGCCGAGCAGTTGCCATACCAGGCGGTGATGCAACCGGTAAGGATGCTCTCAATGGTGCAGCTGTATAACTTTTTTTGGCTCTGGGGACCCATACCAAATCTTTTCAATCTCCTGAGGGGGATTAGGCGTTGTCGTGCCCTCTTCACGACTGTCTTGGTGTGTTTGGACCATAATCGTTTGTTGGTGATATGGACACAAAGGAACTTGAAGCTCTCGACCCGCTCCACATCAGCCCAGGCGATGTGAATGGGGGCGTATCCGGCCCTCCTTTTCCTGTAGGTTGTTGTCCTGGTACCACAATGCCAGGTCTCTGACCTCCTCCCTATAGGCTGTCTCATTGTTGTCTGTGATCAGCCTACCACCGTTGTGTCGTCAGCAAACGTAATGATGGTATTGGCGTCGTGCTTGGCTACACAGTTGTGGGTGAACAGGGAGTACAGGAGGGGACTAAGCATGCACCCCTGAGGGGACCCCGTGTTGAGGATCAGCCTGGCAGATGTGTTGTTGCCTAGCCTTACCACCTGGTGGGCGGCCCGTCAGGAAGTCCAGGATCCAGTTGCAGAGGGAGTTGTTTAGTCCCAGGGTCCTTAGCTTAGTGATGAGCTTTGTGGGCACTATGGTGTTGAACACTGAGCTGCAGTCAATGAACATCATTCTCACATAGGTGTTCCTTTTGTCCAGGTGGAAAAGGGCAGTGTGGAGTACAATTGAGATTGTGTCATCTATGGATCTATTGGGATGGTATGCGAATTGGAGGGGGTCTAGGGTTTCCGGGATGATGGTGTTGAAGTGAGCCATGAACAGCCTTTCAAAGCACTTCATGGCTACAGACGTAAGTGCTACGGGGCGGTAGTCATTAAGGCAGGTTACCTTGGCGTTCTTGGGCACAGGGACTATGGTGGTCTGCTTGAAACATGTAGATATTACAGACTCGGTCAGGGAGAGGTTGCAAATGTCAGTGAAGACACTTGCCAGTTGGTCTGCACATGCTCTGAGTACACGTCCTGGTAATCCCATCTGGTCCTGCGGCCTTGTGAATGTTTACCTTTTTAAAGGTCTTACTCACATCGGCTATGGAGAGCGTGATCACACAGTCGTCCGGAACAGCTGGTACTCTCATGCATGCTTCAGTGTTGCTTGCCTCGAAGTGAGCATGAAAGGCATTTAGCCCGTCTGGTAGGCTCGCGTCACTGGGCAGCTTGCGGCTGTGTTTCCCTTTGTAGTACGTAATAGTTTGCAAGCCCTGCCACATCCGACGAGTGTCAGAGCCAGTGTAGGAAGATTCAATCTTAGTCCTGTATTGACCCTTTGCCTGTTTGATGGTTCATCTGAGGGCATAGTGGGATTTCTTATAAGCGTCCGGATTAGTGTCCCGCTCTTTGAAAGTGGAAGCTCTAGCCTTTAGCTTGGTGCGGATGTTGCCTGTAATCCGTGGCTTCTGGTTGGGTTATGTATGTACGGTCACTGTGGGGACGACGTCATTGATGCACTTATTGATGAAGCTGGTGACTGAGGTAGTATACTCCCGGAACATATTCCAGTCTGTGCTAGCAAAACAGTCATATGGCCACATAGAGAAGTCAGATTTGAACATTCCTAAAGAAACACTTTAGTCATCAAGACGTGATTTGCATCTCTGGCGGGTATCCCCCATTCAGAGTGCCACTATAAGCCCTCGGCAGGCCACTTTTAGCCTCCACTCAGAGGACCGCTATACGCCCTAGGCAAGCCATCTAGCCCTGAGTTAATTTGAAAGACAACAGCCAGGAATTCTCTAATCTCAAATTCAGCCTGCCACCTTCCAGCTAACCACAGCCAGCCAGAGGCTACAAGCTGCATCCATTTTTTGTGATGAACTTAAAAAGGAAAACATGTTTTTGAGCGAAGCCTTACTTGACATACAGACTAGATCTATGAGAGAAAATCTGGTACTTACTGGTATCAAAGAAAAAGAAGGCAAAAATCCTGAAATCGTGGTGAAATAATTATTTCTCACAGCACTACAGATCCCAGGCAATGTCGTCGACAAAATCCAACTCGAACGTGTACACCATTTAGGACAGAGAGGACAAAGATATTAGCGCCCAATCGTTGCCAAATTTGCATTCTTTAAAGATAAAATAAGGGTTAAAAGCCTGGGTAAAAGACTTGCTGGTATGAAAATAGGCATGAATGATCAGTTCCCGAAATAAATTGCAGAACAGTGCAAAGTTCTGTACCCACTCTTCTATGGAGGACTAAAAGTGCCACAATTAAATAAATAAATACACCATTAAATAATTACTTAAATGTGTCATTAATTAATTAAAATTAGAATTAAATACATAAATGTGTTATTAAATGTGTCATTAATTAATTCAAATACCGATTCATTTTATGTAAAATACATATATAATAATTTCACTATTTACATTTACATTTCATGGTCCTGCGTTGGAGTGCTTCCTGAATTACTTAAAACTGTCAAACTGACCCATCAAAAGTTGGTAGGCGGAACCTAACGCCTGATTGGTTACCCGCTGCATCAAGCCAAGACAAATCAATTCCGGATAATGTCAGCAGGTCCTGCTTCTACATCCTCTGCTAAGTTTAAAATGTCTCTAACCAACTCCCTGGAAAGTTCACGGAGATCCTCCATTGTCTCTATCCAGGTTGGCCTACTCTACTTCAGACCAAAGCAATGGATCAGACTAGATTCGCGTTAGCCCCGCCCACTGACTTTGATGGATCAGTTTGACAGTTTTAAGTAATTCATGAATCACTGCAATGCAGGATCATGAAATGTAAATGTAAATAGTGAAATAATTATATATGTATTTTACATAAAATGAATCGGTATTTGAATTAATTAATGATACATTTAATTACACATTTATGTATTTAATTCTAATTTGAATTAATTAATGACACATTTAAGTAATTATTTAATGGTGTATTTATTTATTTAATTGTGGCACTTTTAGTCCTCCATAATATAGGGGTGGTAATGAGAAGATGAGGTGCAGGTGCCCTGGAGGTGATTAGGGTGCGTTGGGTTTCCATTCTGGTGTTGCCGAGGTGGTGCGCTCAGACCAGTGGCTCAATAGACCGGTGAATCTGATACGAAGGACGCAGTATTCATAGTGGCCTGAGGTAGTGCTGAATGCCGTATTCCATTCGTCTCCTTCCTGGATTCGGATCAGGTTGTAGGCACTCCTCAGGTCCAACTCACAGCTGCTCGATGGCCGACGGAACCAGAGGGAGGGGGTACCGGTACTTTGTGGTGACTGCGTTCAGCCCCCGGTAGTCAATGCATGGTCTCAGTCCTCCGTCTTTTTTGGCCACGAAGAAGAAGCTGGCGGAGGCAAGAGAGGTAGAGCGTCTGATGAACCCCTGATTCAGGGTCTCCGCCACATACTCGTGGTTCTCCGGTAGTCTGGGAATGGTGATGGTGATGTGGAGAATGACATACGTAATGGTGCTTGTTCCAAGTGGTTTATTGTCCAGCGAGGTGACGCGTAGCGGAGAAGGCAGTGGCATGGTGGGCAACCCCATTCAGAGACCAGCTCCCTATCTATAAGGTTCCCTGCTGATCCGGAATCTATCATTGCCGTGGAAAGCAAAGAGAAGGAAGAACCATTCACCGTTAGAGGAACTAAAATGGTTTGGTGACAGGTGATGACGGAACCCTCACGGAGCGGCGATAGCAGTCATACCGCCTAGATAGGGAGCCGCCAGGAGATCTGTGGTCTGTGGTGGTGTAGGGGGTGCTGCCCACCTCCATGGGTGAGGACTCGGAGGCATGGCGGCTTCCATAGCTCAGATGGGGTGAGCATCGAGCAGATGGGGTGAGCATCGAGGCTCCGGGAGGTGTTGGGAACGCTGTCGGTCTCTCAACATGTCGTCAAGACGAATGGACGTGGCG